CCTCCCTAACCTAGTCTAGAGGGGTGCTGCAGGGGTAAAAATTTGGATAACTATTACGGATAAAAATTTGGAAAACAATTTAGGGGGACAAATATCGGTGTCTAATTATAATGTTCAACTATCCCTGGTGTGTATTATCAGCTGGCGCGCCGTCAGAGCCTTTTGAGCACATCGTAAGCTCAGTGCATGCAGGGTTGTGTAAATATTCTTAAAATATTCGCGTCTCGTATTTCATCCTTTTATCAAATTCACTCGACTGAAAACGAATGCGGCCGGAGCACAAAATCGTTTAGGTCAATATGAGCTCAATCCTAATATTCCTGTACAATCCTTTCTATGTAAACCTGAAGTACTCTTGACGAAATGGTAGATTAGTTAAATTGTCTTGTCAACTGCTATTGCAATATCAAAGCCATATTAAGTTCTTTTATTTTCGCAGGAAAATGAGAAACTGAAACAAAAGATAAACGAGCAGATTGTAGAGAACAACAATCTAATACGTGCCTTGGATCTGAACATAACAAGTACGCCGAAATATAGAGACTTTCCTGTGATTGGTAGAGCGACATCTCGTGATCTGGATACCGTGACAGCTAGTTCCATGAATCTTAGAGATTCTCCTGTGATTGGCACGGCGACATCACATGACCTGAAACCCTCGCGTATATATGGTAGAGCGTCATCGCATAACTTGTTGAGAGAATATGATAGCGGCGTATTTTCCGATGAAGAGTCGTGGGAGTGCGGTGAAGATTTGACAGCCACTTACAGCGGTGAATCGTCGCTGGTCAATGGCGTCCATGATAGACATTGTAAGTCTTAGAAAAAGCTAGCTGTTTAGGGCAAAATCCTTCTAGAAGAAATGATGAAACTGTATTATAATACTGCCTTTGTATCTGGCCAAAATTATATGCAAACTATTTAGCCAACAAATCCGATATATTGAAGGCATTTAATATATTGAAGGCTATGATTTAATAAAAACTTGATTTTTTATATTTTAGTTGATCTGTCAGTCACACCTCGCTTCACGCTTCCCAGGGAAAAAGTTTTATTAAAATCCGATAGGGATATCAAACCGCAGACCAAACCATGGCGTTATACGGCTGGCCCTAGTGCTCCATCGAAGCCGCCTCGCTTTCGAGAAACGGCGTTAGAGAAGCCACGGGAGGCTGGGGAGAAGTTTGAGGAACGTCCGACACACGAGGAATACCAAACTGTGGCAGGCGTTTCATTTCCAGCTGGGACTGGTGAGTGTGTCCTGTGTGATTTGTATAGGAAATACGTATGAGCATATGAGATTGAAAATAGACTCTGCCCTCTGAATAAAATTTATGGACCATTTTCTTTTAAATTATGAAAAATATGACAAAAAAACCATGCTCTTTACCACGCGGTAGATCGTAAATTTGGAGAGAAACCCAGGAAATGGCATCCGTATCGTCAGTTTGGCGACGGGGGAAAAGCAAAGGAAAATATCTCAGCTGTCTGGGAAAGAAAACACGTGAAACATTCGGAATATCAAGATGCCTCTGGGGTAAAATTCCCATCTGCTACAGGTAACGTCTTTCTTTCTGTAGTTATAATCGACGTGCATGCACTCCTGAAAATTACCGCTGCATACAGGACACGCGTATACGGAGGGGAAGACGTACTGAACTGCATGCTTTTGCATAGCATATTCGTTTTACACCTCTCTTCGTACTTAGATTTACAGAAAATTGCCCTTTCTAATAGCAAATTTAATACGGTATTAAGTTTTATTTTACCAAAATAAATGCACTGCACTTATTTATGCAAATATTGCTCCAAAATGAAATACGTGTTCACGGTTCGTCTTAATGTCATTGTATGTTTTTGCCTTCCTTCTCCCACAAAACATCATCAACATTCAACTTACATTCTAATTTTCGTGTACATTTATTTTGTCCAACAAAAAACATCAAGGCCCTGTTACATGGTGCAATTTTTTATGCAACATGAGTGTAATAAACCCAGACGTTTCGAGTTCACCAATTTTATAACATCTCGCAAAAGTACAATTGTTTAATGAAAATTGTTTATAATTAGCTTGCCTTGCGGTCTTTAGACAAGAAGTTTACACGAAGCTTAGACATGAACTGGAGTCCGGACACTGCGTTAAGAAACGCCGAACGCTCTCAAAATTGGGAGGATGGCCTGGGGCATGGTGACACAGAAAAGAACATGCGTTATGCTAATAAGTTGGAGCGCATGAGATCCAATAAGAGAAGATACTTTAAAGACATCGAGGATAAAGTTGCCGTAGAGGAAGGGAAAGAGGAAAAAGGATCGAATTTCGAAGGTGAAGCTCACAATTAATAAAGTGAAATATTTCCAGCAGCTGACGCTTTAAGTAAATTCCTACATCGGTTAGTCTGAACTGAGTGAAATCTAAATTTGTTCAAATATCTTCCAAGGAATAAGATGACAGAACGCGACGAAGATATGGCCGAGGCAGAGGTGGAACAAGACCGACTGAAAACGTCAAGGATGGAAACGAGGAGAGCGAAAAAAGCAGAAATATTAAAGCATGAAAAAGATCGGACTGACCAGGCAGAGAAGTGGAAGACGGAACGCATTGAGGCGATGAAGGAAAGGCAGGTGAAGTTTGCAGAGATTGAGGACAGCCATGAAATCAAAAAAGATTCAAAGAAAGCGCGGAGAGAGGTATAAAGGGGTTTTGATTTATTTTTCGTTATTTTTCAATCGTCCGTTAACGAGATAATAAACGTTTCAGAAAGCAACTCACTCACACTTATCCGTACTGAGTGGTAGATTTCAAACTCGTCGTAGCGATTCAATGACACGGTTTTTCCACTCGAAAAAAACTTGATTTTCATTTTTTACCTTAAATCATTCCATTGAGCGAGCATTTAAATACATATGATATATGTTATAATGCCTTTAAGAATAAAGATGCTGTACCTGGACATATTCTCAAACGATCAGCAATCTTGAACCAAAAAATGCCTCCTAAATTGATATGCACGTCGGTTAGGAAATAACTACCTACCTAAAAGAAAGTATACTGTATGCATGCATGCTCATTTATCTGTCAATGTTTTACTCGCGAAAACATGCCAGAAATTGCTTTGCAACGTGTATATAACTACAAATTCTATAATCAATAAAACAAAAGAAAATTGTGGTCTGACGGTCGCTCCTTGACAAGACGAAACAACGGATAACACGAATAGCGACGTTGATATTATTATGGAGCATATAACCTAAACATGTTTTGTTTTATTCATCCCTACAAGTTGATTCATTGATTTTATCCGTTCTCACATCAGGCGTTTCTTCGTACGAAAGAACATGAACGAAGAGAAGAGTTTCATGACAGACTTCGCGAAGAATGGCGAACGGAGGACGAACGTGCCGAACGTCGCCGACAACAGAGCGCAACCAACCGAGAGAAGCAAAATACACGTCAGCGAAATGCATATCGCGCGAAGGAGGCAAGGCTTTCTGCAAAACAGGAGCGACTCGGGAAATACCGAGCAAGCATCTTGCCTTAAATGTCATAAATTTATAATATAATATATATATATATATAATATATATATATATAATATATATATATAGTATTATATATATATATATATTTCGCTAGATAACTCTCTCTCTCTCTGCAAGTGGAAATCCATCCTAAGCATGCTGAAAAATATGCAAAAACGTTTTATTGAGTTTGCATGTTTTAGCTGGCCATGGGGATTGGTTGTATAATTTTTTGGCGATAAGGAGGAATAATTAAGTATTTAACAAACTATATTTACTAGTGAATAATTCACCGATTTTTTCGGGTAAACAAATGTATATACTGTATATGAAAATACAATTATTGTTGTTAATTATTTGTTGTACAATATTAGTAATATACGAATAAATAAAGCAGCAAAATCCATAGAAAAATCTCAAGAAAATATAGCTCTTTATATAGTTGCATAATATCACTCTAACTCTGAAATGCCAAGTTCACTCACTATTGACGTTATACACTTTAAATTATTAAATGTACGATTTCTGTAATTCTGCAGTGTTTTAATTTTCATGCAGAGGCGCACATGGAGGGGCTGGGCAAAATTACCAAAACGAGAACGTCCAGAAAAAAGCAGACAAATATCATACATACAGTGAGGTGATATCTTGTACCACTGTTTGCGATAATGCATCGATCGCGACTGTCTGGGATGTTTGGAATGTATTTTTGGCGGATAAAACACCCTTATAGGGGGTCAGTTGGAGAATACTTCCGTAAGAAAATGTTCAAGAAATCTTGACAAAAGCAGATGCGATTTCCTTAGTTTTGGGGATGATATTTTTTATATAGTAGTTAATAAAATAATTATATAGCATGCATGCATTGTATGAACTGTCCCAAAATTTTCTGGAAAGAGGACTGTATATATTTCCAACAATAGTTTACCTCAATTCCTGGAGTATTTTGGGGGCCTCCGTAAACCCTGAGTTCAGGAGAATGTTTTCCCTTTTGCCCCTCCCTTTAGACAGCCCTGGTCATTTTAATATATTTGTATACGATGACTACGACGACTGCAAATCCATTATACATTACATGAAATAGATTTGTTTTTCTCAAAGTTGAAGAGTCTTTAACCGTGGACTTACTAAAAGCTGGATAACATCCCTGCAAGTATATGGACACGAGACCAGGGCGGCCATGCAGGGTCTCCCGAACTGTGAGACTGTGTTTCTTTGCAGGCGACTTGCACTCTCAAAACATTCGAAAACCAATTTATATATAGTGGGAAGAAAGAAGAGGAAAACTTGTCAAAAAACACCCGCCGTCACCCTCCTTAAAATTTCCGGACAGCCCGGCTTCAACTAGAATTTAACTACAATGAATAGCGCTCGAAAGTTTGAATACTGATTTTCAATTCATGGCATAGCATCAATACACGAGGTTTGATAAACGAAAGACAATTAACGTATGCTATAAACTACGACTTTTCACTAAAAAATTACCATAACCAAATTTTTAATATCAAATTAACGTAGGCTACGAAATGTATGTTTAATATCGACTCAGTTTTTGAGAGCGAGGATACTTCGCTTCGTCAAAGCACAGCACGATGTGGTACAGCTAGGAGCGCATCCGCTAGAGCAAGGACTGGGACAGGGTGGCGTTTGAGGAGCCGAGCAGCATCGTATTGAGCACGATGGGGCGCAGACAGTCGGTTGCCGACATGTTGAAGGACATTGCTGTTCATCTTTTATAATGACTAAAAATAAACGGTAAACAAAAATACAGTAAATCGGTAGGACATGAAAACCTCTCGCTGCGGTCCAAAAATGATATAAAGAAAAGTTGACCTGGTTAATTAACAATCCTTCGGTGTTGAAATCTAAGGAACATCTTTCCTTTTACCATAAAAAAGTATAAATATTCTATTGAAAAGCCCCAAAAAATCCCGGCATGCGCGGGACAGCCTTGATTTGAAGGTCGTACAACCACTATTTCCGATCGCTATTTATTAGGAGTTTCATGAGATCAGTTTTAACCCCGATTAAAATGTTTCGGAAAATATTGACTCGTTGAGTGCGCTTTCTCGTTATTTCCGAAGGATAAGTGTGATATAAATCGTCCTGTCAAGAGTGCAGGAATATCGCTCACTGAATGGAAACAATTCAGTCAGCATATGAATTATGAAAAGTAAAAACATGACAGACCTGTCGCCATGTCGGGAGACACTGCATGGCTGGCGATTGTGCCTACTTTCAGCTGTGTTTCCAGTGGGACCAGGAGGCCTGGACGCGAGACCCGAAACTTAAAATCTAGCGTCACTTCCACTCCCATTAAAGGTACACTGGAACGGCGAGTAGCCGGTGCTGCTGATCCTGCTTGGAATTCGGTCTTTGGTGGTTTGTACACCGCTGGTCTGTGAGATAAACAAATATATATTGTGAATTTTAACTGTCATCAAAAGTTGTCACCCTGGGGCCGGTTGTATAAAACTCTTAACTACATTTTAAGTAGTTAAATCGTAGTTAACTAGAGAATACATTCTTCTGATTGGTCAATTCTGCCACTAACTACATTTAAAAGTTAACTACCGTTTTATACAGGGTGTCCCAAAAAAAACGCAACCACTTAAATATGCAAGAATATTAATATTGTTCGGGTTTGCACCATAGTTCAGCTAAAATGACTTTTAGCATTGTAAATGAAGGATTACGAGCCATTTTCAATTCCCAGAGGCGCTTATCTATTGTGCTTTAGAGCTGTATTAATGTTCTGCATAATTATTTAAGTGGTTGCTTTTTTTTTGGGACACCCTGTACAACCGGCCCCCTGCTTGTACCACATGAATCAATTAACTATTTTTGAATGAAAGAGTTACCAATCCTACGTTTGTTGTTTGATAACGACAAACTTGACTATCCTTCGTATATAACCGTTGAAAAGTGTTTTAGCGAACTAAAAGCGGTAAAAGCAGTCAAATATTCTAAAAGTTCTTGATATTTTAGGAAATATGCGGATTTAAATGTAAACAAAGCGTTTGTTTTCATTACGGATTGTATCACACCTTTAAATGAATAATAATTTGGTATAACCTCAATTTTATATAAATATTTTCAGTGGTGGATCCAGCACTATAGTGCACTATAAAAAAGGTGTATAAGAAAAACTGAATCGTTTCCAATTAAATTTAGCTACAATTAACATATTGTAGTAATTTGATGGTGCAAATTGCATGGAAATAATGGCCAGATATAATAGACGTTTATTTTATACTCAAAGGATTAAACTGAAAAGAAATGACTAATCTTCTATGGCAATGTGTGTGAGAACTTGTTTTTTAATTTAGGCATATTAATTTGACGAGGAATTAGAACTGTCGAATTACTAGAATCACATTACAGTTAATTTCTATTTTAAAGCGCCGACATGGAGAATGCATAGCTTAGAAAAATGAAGGCATGCAAAACCATACTAACTATATTGTGGCATGCAAGACCAAATACTACAACGTACAATTGTCAAACGATTGCTACCAACCTGAAGCTCAAAACAGTAACGGATATAAATTCAGGATTACTTCGGAAAATTTCTGTCAACTAAAAAGTGGAATAAAAAGGAGAATGTAGAATTAAGGTAACAAAATGATGACAAAATAACATTCACGTTGCATTCCTCAGCGGCAGAAAGGTTTGTGAAATCTTAAGGTTTATATTTCGGATAGTAACAAGTTCCAATATAGGTTCCCTTAACTGCAACAGCTAAACATGCCCAATCATTCTTGAAGTCGAATAATTTGTTAGCCTTCAGTCTAAACATTGAACTGAATCTAATAGTGAAAGTCGTGGATAATTAAAGCACTAAATCTGGTGAACAGAATCATTTTCTGAGATCACAAATTCCTTTCGTAATATGCTCTGGCTTAGATCAAAATTAACCTGAAATCTAGATAGAACTTCATCCCGACAAATGGAATAACATGCATGATCTGTCCCTTAGCCGACTTCTACACCAAATCTCGCATTGTCTATGCTTTAAACTGAGAAAGGTTAACTAATTTTTGGTCTTTTCTATTTTCAAGACCACTGTGGTTCGCAATAAGGGGGGTTGTCAGATACATGATTAACGGCCATGATTGGCAGATAGATAATGATATGTTTACCGACTGTTCGATCATCTTCTTCAAGTCCAAGAACTGCAAACTTGAAGGTATGTTTAGGTTTGCGTCAAATGATTTCTCGGTCAGAATTATGGCGACCTTGAATTCTTTACCTGAAGAAAAAGAGAAAAAAATGCTTCTGTCTTCATTTCTTCTGCGTGGGCAGTGAGTTTTCACTGGACAACGTAAAACGTTTAAAAATTTTCGTATGGTAAGGAACACGAAAACGTAGTGTTTTCTTTTTTCGAAATTTTGCATGCTCAATTCTTAATTTGAAACGATGTAATAAATTAAAAGGAAACGCGATTCATTTAGCTACATACGCTCTCTATCTGTCATACCTGGTGTGTTCGTGGTGTAAGGTATCGTGGGTCGGGAGTCGACCGGATTTTCTGGTGTCATAACTGGGGCAGGGGTTGTAGTGGCTGGTGCAGGGGTAGTGCTAACATTGGATGCTGTATTGTTGTTTGGTGTGGTACCGTTGGATGTTGCGGACGTTGTGGATGGTTTGGTGCCTGGTTTGGACGTGGTGGCGCCAACAGCTGGTGCAACAGTTGCTACTATGGTAGTCGACGGAGCAGATGTCGCCCCAGCAGGTGCTTTTGTCGCAGATGGTGCTTTTGTCGCAGATGGTGCTTGTGTAGCAGCAGGCGCTTGTGTAGCAGCAGGCGCTTGTGTAGCTGCAGGCGCTTGTGTGGCAGCAGGCGCTTGTGTGGCAGCAGGCGCTTGTGTGGCAGCAGGCGCTTGTGTGGCAGCAGGCGCTTGTGTGGCAGCAGGCGCTTGTGTAGCAGCAGGCGCTTGTGTGGCAGCAGGCGCTTGTGTGGCAGCAGGCGCTTGTGTGGCAGCAGGCGCTTGTGTGGCAGCAGGGGCTTGTGTGGCAGCAGGGGCTTGTGTGGCAGCAGGCGCTTGTGTAGCAGCAGGCGCTTGTGTGGCAGCAGGCGCTTGTGTAGCAGCAGGGGCTTGTTTCGCAGCAGGTAGTGGGGTCTTTTGTGCATCCTGCGCTTGTGTAGTTTGTGTTGGTGCTTGTGTAGCAGAAGATGCTTGTTTATTAGGTTTCGGAGTGGTTGTTGCTGGGGCCTCTTCTGGTGGTAACTCTATATAACAAATTCGTTTTTGATAAATACGTCAATACGAGTCTACTGTTTCAAATGTTCTTCCACATCGAAAGACAAAAAATCATATTGCGAATTTCATTTAGAATAACAACGATTTTCTATTTCACCCGTGTTACCTGGAACTATCTCGACTCTGAGACCACCAATGTTTCCAGATTCAATGGCGGATTTCAGCGTGTCAATAATACTTTGAGATATCAATCCTTGAACAGAGAGCGAGACGTCTGCCAATACACTGCCTTTTCTATGAAGAAACAGCAAACCTCAAAACTTGTTTTATTATTAAACACGAGCAAGTATTTCCCAGTGAACTCAAATAAGACTGGAACGCTCATTTTGTCGGAAGTTTGAAGCCAAGATGGCGGACACTGAAACCTTTCTTGTAGGTATGATCCATGCCTAAATGCAAAAATTTCGTAGGTAAAATGGCGGCAATTTTTATTTTTCCTTTGAAATTTCCGCGCCAGAGGCCTGGATTATACCTACAAGAAAGACTTCATGATACGCCGCAATCTTGGCTTCACTCATTAATGAGGGAAAGTCAGAGAGTGAGCATTCCAGTCTTATTTGAGTTCACTGGTATTTCCTACGTCTGAAGTCAACATTCTTCTATACAGTCGACTGAGAGGCTGAAACCCCACTGAAACGATGCCGATACTCTAATGTTCAGGGAGCGCGTTCAGCCAATACCGGCTTGGGAAATGCGGCCGATACTGCAAAGAAAAAGTTTGAAACAGAATGGTAACCGTAAGAGTTTGAACCTCAAAGTACTGCGTGAACGGCTAACCGTAAGAGTTTCACTATAGTAATGCATAACGTTTTGATGCGAAGTCAAATTTTTCAAAACCAAAAAGGTCCTTGTTGCATAATGTCACATTTTAAAGCTTTTATTTGTGGATAAGAAAAATATATAAATTCTACATTACGCAAATCTTTTGCACATTCTCAAAATTGCATGAGATGAAAACTAAAGTTTACTTTCGGTGAGTTCAAACACCCACTTAGAAGTAGAAATAATGTAGTGAAATGTCATAATGGGTGATTTCTATTTTCGGAAAATTCGTAATTTCAGCTGAAATTTCTACAATGGGAAGCGCTAACGCTTGTGAGATCGCGAGACATGTGGGAGGTACCCTCGTAACGTCGTCATTTATTCCAATGTATTTATTCGTTCGTCATTTATTCATGCATTAACCTCAACTGACCTAAATTTAGTGAGATCTATTGACACCACGCATCCTTCGTTGGCAAGCAGTGTTGTTAACTAAAATGAAGGATTCAAAAATACTCGTGAGTAAACATAATAAAAGCGGAACTATAAAAAGAAGAGATATAAAACAATGCAAAGCAATGCAACAAGGGGGATTTCGTTTTAGACCAATCAACAAGTTTGTTTACATTTTCAGTAACCCAGTTCAGTTCATGGATTGCTGCATTGAAGATCCAAGCTTCGTTGCAGGCTGTCATTTTTGAATAAACCACGATTTCACGCGTTATTGCGAATAAATTATAATTCCCATGATCTGTCGCCAGGCAACAAGAAACCACGTGATTGATTTTGACCGATCGCGTGAGTAGATTTAGGCCACTGCACGAAGATTGTTTATTAATAGCAGATAATTATCGGATATCAGATGAGCGAGTCTCGTGATAGAGGCAAGCACAAACGCTTTGTTAACATACCCCCGAGATCAACTGATTCTTCAGCCCTTGGTACTGTTGACTTTTTGGGTCGTTGAACTCGGGTGTGAACGTTTGATCAGGCAGCCGTATTGTGAATGGATAGCTGTAAACTGAAACAAAAGAATTTCCTTAAAATTTATTTATGTTTTAATAAAGAAATACCCGCCTAGAAGAGATGGAAATAAAAAAACAGGCATGAAAGTAACAAAAAGGAATTTCGCTTTAGACCAATCGGCATGATTGTTTACATTTTTCTGGCAAAGCCAATCACAATGCCTACCTTTTTAATACTTCATGTAAAATGGTAAATAATGTACCTTTTTACCGGAAGAGGTAAACATTTATGCATTTTGATTGGGTTACTGAAAATGTAAACAAACTTGCTGATTCGTCTAAAAGGAAATCCCCCATTGTTTATGAAAGCTGGGTTTGCATGCCTGGAAGGAATATGTGAGGATAAAGAAAGATATCGTTTGCTAAAAATTTACGGTTAATTAACGGAGTTCAGCAAATATTCTTTCTGGAAACCTACTTGAGAAACTACTGGAATGGCCCGTGGCTAAAAAGAGCTCTGGAATGGGCCGTGGCCAAAAAAGAGCGAAGTTGCAAATTGCCGTCGGAGAAGAAAGAAAGCAAAAGTTGTATGCGAAGAAAAGGTAGGAAAACATACGTTTTTTAGGATTGGTCAAGTCAATCTTGCAGCAGGTCGGCGAATATATCAGATCCCTTTGCGAATCTTGATCTTCACGCCCAGGTTCTTTCTTTTGTACTATCCCCCTCTTTAAAGACTCGGGTTTCACTTTTACGACATGGCCACGTTTGCTGGGTAAGATAAATGTAAATATGAAAGACTCGGGAAATCTCGCACCTTCGTAATTGTTAGTAGAGTTTGTGACCTTCCCGACCTGTTTAGGAGTAGACGCCTAAATATAACCCTGTCCACACGTATCCGGATAAATTTATCCGTTTTAAAAAAAATCTGCGTCTACACGTTGTCGTTTCTGGACCGTTTTTGGCGTCCATACGAAAACGTGAAAACTATTTGAAAACGCTAACATCGCTTACTGGGCATGCTCTTTAGAGCGAAACATGTGCCCGCAATCTTTTACGTACCCCGAGGCCCGACTCATTCTAAACTTCTCCTTCCACTCCTCTGGAATAACTATTTGGTTTAAAAAATTCGCCTACTAAGCACTTGTTCGCCCAGGTCTAATCCAAAAACGTCGAGGTTTTGCCTGACGTCTTCGGTTGATGCGTTTTAAGATGACTTGCTTTGAAGTCGCCAGTGAGAGAAGCCGAATTATATTTTTGTGTGCTTCTTAAGATAATCTGCATGATTTCGTATTTCGTTTCCGAATTTATCCACTCTGGAAAGCGTTTTCAAATTTATCCATTTTCAGTAGGCAAAAACGCCGAATACGTGTGGACGGAACCTCAGAAAAGTACGTTTTCTACTTCTATATCGCATCGTGCAACATAACATGCAAAACATAACATAAAAGTATTGGCTTTTCAGTTTCCAGAAGAGATTACATCGCATTAGGAGATAGTTCAGCGTACAAAAAACATAAATGGACTTGGACACGTTCTACGTGTCAAATTTTTATCCATTTCCGTACGCGGTACAGAGTGAACGTAGCCTAAAAGTACATCTACGATCAATATATAGGTATACCCGCCAACAAATTAAAATGCATGACAAATGAAATAACATTTTTTTACGTTATTTATTTTAATGTGTATTTTAATATTTATTTCGTTTCGCTCAGACGAGGGATTTCGGTAAAAAGACTGAAGTTTCGGAAATGGCTGCTAGCGATATTCATATTTTAGCAAGTGCTTCAATAAACATGTATTATACATTGTATATAGGTTTCTGTACGATGAAAGCTAAAGCTTTTTGTTCTACATATAAACCTATACATTTATATTTCATATAAAATACATACAAAGAAAACTTACAAGGTCTTCGCAGTAAGCCTCTGTAATCCAGCTTCGTCACAGTGACAGACGATCTTTGGTTTACCAAAATAATCCATACCAATGACAACGTTCTCAGAAAGCCTATCTCTCCTTCGACGTACATTGTACACTCTATTTGACTCTTCACCACAACCAAGCACGCACGTGGCTAAATATCAAATAGATTTGTGAAAAGTTGTCTAACGTATATAGTGCGCATCGGTCACATGTAAGAGTGTCCGATTGGCCTGATTTAAGACAGAGACGACGGATCATTCGTCTGGACGAACTTGGGTAAGGAAAAGATAGTTCGTCTACTAGAGCCCGTATAGGGCGAGTTTTTCCGCATTATTTCGAGTTCTCTCAAACTCCTACAAGTGCTCCTTTAACTGCATAGAAACACAGCAAAAAGTGTTTTATATTTCTTTCATAATATACCTCCATAAAAAGATTTTATACAAATATTATAATTCGATTCAATTACAAATTCTCATTACATTACTTCGCTTGTCAAGTTCGGCGGGAAAATTCCCGTGTTTCTATACAGTTTTAGTATACACCCGACTATTGTCTATTATAAATCCTACATTCTGATTGGCTACTCAACCATTGTCTATTCGTGATGGTGAACGTTTGGGAAAAATTCGTTCGCCCGACCGCATAAAATTGAATTCATTAAATTATTTTTCGGTGTAATTGCGGTGTATCGATTATTTTCTCGAAATTAATATATCTAGGTACAGGGTGTATACTAAAACAATTAGACAACTCGCCTTCGTTGTCTATGAGCGAATAGACAACTCGGACTCGTTGTCTAATTGTTAAATAGAAACACGCTTCTCGACCAATCAGCACGCGCGTACTATAAATGTTATATTATATAATAAGATATATGACATGGACGTCGCAACAAGGAAAGGGATCGGCAAAAGCGTTACCCCTGCAGGGGCAAAGAAAAGAGGGAAGATGTGCCATTTCAATATAAAGAACTGCTTTGGAAAAAAAGCAAATTGAACAATATATTAGTGTAATGCCTTTAAATATATTTGCTATAGATATAGCAGCAAACGACAGCACAATCGTCAGCATGCTTTGTATATACGCTCAGCCATCGCGATCTCCCAGTTTCGCAAACAGGACAGAAAAATTCCCCCTACGGCCTTGTCTTACGTGAATTTGAAATTTTTGAGACGAAATTTTCCAAAAGATCGAATGGTAATTTTTGATATCATAAGGAATTTTGACAGAAATCCAAACATGTTAAGGAACGAGAGGCTTATGTATGTCAGTATGTGGAAGTTTGGCAAAAGGTAAAATAATAAAAACTTTATGATGGACCTATATCTAAGCGTACGAGTGATATGATCAAAATATTCTAATCATTCGATATCATTTGACCAACCAGTTATCTACATGTAGTTCAATAGCAGAAATCGATTGAGGTGCTCCACATAAACAATGTTTATATTTAAAATTAATTTTAAAATCAGTACAATCACACTAGATCACTGCATGGATGTTATATGATTTAACTCATTAAAACTGATTGAATGTTGCTTTCCATGATCAAAATATTTACATTTCTGCAATTTGAAAAACAAAACAATGATGTGTTAAACAAATCAACTTCAAATGAAGCGAAAATTCTGATGAAGTTAAAGGCATCGGTTCGGTGAAAATTTGAATGCTCGCATAGCGCTGAATAGTATATAAAATAAGTATGAAACTAACAAATGAATAACATTGTCTATATACTACGACTACACTTCAAATAGTATTCGCCTAGGTAATACATTATATAATTAAAACACCATTTCAGAACCCGCTAAATTCATACTTACTCGTTAGAACGAAAGCTAAAAAACCAGGCACAAATCTTTTCATGTTAAAGAATAACCTTGATAAAATCTCCCCCGATATATCTTTATTGAACAAAATAATTCATATACTTCGCTTCAAAATCTTATGCAGGAGAAAACGATTTCACGCCTGGACAAACACGGACATTCTTTCAAAGAGAAGTCATACTGCGATACGACTATATGCACACAACGGCACTAGTAATATGACAAACGCCACTCACACATTGAGCTGGTGGAAAGCTGGTAACTTTTGTTATTAATTAAAAACTCTTGCAATTAAGCTTTGAGCGATATAGTTAACCGTCGGTTGGCAAAAGCCTGTGAAAGCTAACGCAGGGTAAAATATTCAACCCAGTGTTAAATTCTCGTGAAGGAAAAGTTTTTTTGCAGAGGTGATAATTTTTCATCGAATTTCCCGAGCGAAAGGTTTATAGATTACAAAAATAGTACCAAAACCACGATTATAATTTCTTTTCCCTCAATTTCGAAAATTGTTGACAGCCTCGATCTACTCGTGCGCGAGACATCCGCGCGTGGCCCACGAAAAAGCTCGATTTCCTAGCGAGATACTCATCTATATATAATACCTGCCGCAACGAAGTATTTGAGTTTTATATACTATATCATGTGACAAAAAACTAGATGGAACTCCACGGTTAATTGCCGCCGGTGACGTGGTACAAATCGAGTTTCTGAGTGATAATTTACAGTTGCATGAGCTATAATATTTTATTTGTTCTGACAAATGCTATAATTTGATTATCTACAAACGAGGCAGGATTTTCCTGTATTGATGCGGTTTTGAACAACCGGTTCTTGAGCAAACTTTCAACATTCAACTCCTTATATGCATAATTTCTGCACGAAATGACTCTTTTAAATCTTTCCAAGAATCGGTTTGGGATTTTCAAGTCCTGGGATTTACAGTAAGGAACCGCGGGGAAAATGCATAAGGTCATCGTGAGGATATAGTTAGTTTACGGTCTGAGAGTCTATTTTATAGGCCGTTTATTATACCATCTTCAATGATAAAAGTAAACGATTTATTTTTTATATTATATAAATAATATAAATACATGCTTATAGAAATATTTAAAATATATATATATCTATATATATAGCTGTAAGTTTGTTCTGTTAAAATGCGCATATCACTGGTGTTTTAATAAAGAGCGCCTTTTGCAAAAAGGAACGGCTAAAAAATGACGAGGCGTAAACATAAGCATATGAATATGATATCAACAAAAAATATGATACGAAATAAATTAAAAAGTGAATGAGGGCCGCATGTTATATCGGCCCATGCATGATGCACGCACTAAAATGTTGCGAAAAATGCAGGGGGGCCGGTTGTACAAAAACGTAGTGCCTGTCGTTAGTGACAGAATTGACCAATGAGAGACGTGTATTTCTGAGTTAATTAACTACGATTTAATTACACAAGTTCAGATCGCGTTTTATACAACCGGCCCTAGGCGTTGCAGAGAATCTGAGGAGTTTCTATATTCCTGTTCTAGAGGAAAAGTGATTTTTTTCTAGGAGAAAATTTGGTATTTATATACTACGTGTTCTTTCCGCACTTGGAGCTGAATCATTTAAACATGGCCACCATTCGCCTGATTGTGCTGTTTTGACTAGAAAACGCTCTGACTAGAGGCTGTTTTTAGATTGCAGAGATACAAGCATGTTTCTGGTCAGCTAATGTGTCCTTCATGTTGACAAATCAGTACCATGCTTAGTCTGCAAACTACGTCACATGCAGCGTTCGAAGGTCTCCTGGGTTCTAAAGGTCCGTGGAAAAATATACTTCATATACGTTTCATTATGCTTTATATAGCCCATTTAATTAAAGAACCAGGAGATTTAGTCTCGTCAATATATAAACCCGAGCTTAAAAGTGCAGTTTCTCTCAGAATAATAAATATCAAATTTGAAATCATGGGGACCTTCTTTGAGGATATCTTGTATAATACTGTACATGTCTTGTATAATATTGTACATGGACCCATTGTCCACATCAGTTAATATAATATCAAGGAATATTTATTGCGACTTCCCTGAAATCGTTTTTCCTTTTCCGTTTCTCCAACCATGACAGGCATGTATCAACATTTTCTTGAATTGCTTTAGTCCGAAATTCAGTAGTTCTACTTGTCTTTACGCTCGATTGTTTTTTCATCCGCAGAGGATTATTCAGTAAATCATCGAGTTGTTTGTCTTCCCTAAACTCTTCAAGAAGCTCCATCGGATTCCTAATTGCAGAAATATGGAAATGAAAACTATTTTGGAAACACTGCAGACACAAGAAAAATACTTTATCGGGAGGTCCAATCATACATGGTCAACCATACATATATAGGTAACCTATATTTATATGTATAGAGTATAGGTAATTATACACAATATTTATGACACCACACTACAGCGCGCGATCAAGACAAATGGGAACTGGTTAGAGTTCTTGTTCAGATGCAGTCTTATTTCATCAAAAACCTGACTATTGGCGGCTACTTATGGTCCAATAATGCTAAAGCTTAACAAATGACATCAGAAAGGCAAATTCTATAACATTGTTTCAGAAAGTGACATTGAGAAACCACAATTTTACATCACTTTAAAAGATTACTTTCTCTTCAACTTTTAGCCTTTTGGTCTACTATATTAACGGTATATTTCTCGTAATCTTACATACTTGGACTAATAAAGGTATATGTTTCTAGAATTGTATACATGCCAAATAAATTTATATTTGCCTAAATATATTTGCTTCTAGATACACCACTTTATAAACATACGTCGCATTTTGGTGACGGCCGTGATGTCGAGTGAAAATGACACAATATAAAAATAAAACAGACGGGCCAGGACTTCATCAATTTAACCACACATTATATATATAGAAAGTTATACCAGAAATCCGTCTTTAGCAAAATTTGTCCTGGTACTGACGCCATTTGGAATCCTGCATGGCTATAGTGCCAACACACTTCGTACATGATCAAACCTTATAAAATCTAGCAAATGAAAGCTTGCAAATATAGATTTACTCAACGTGGTACAGCCACAAAAATTATATGTTGTCGTGAAACCATGGAAAACTTCAAAAAACGATGATTGAATTTTGGGAAAAATGAAAAATAATTTTTAGCATGACAGATAGCAAATTATATAATAACGTAAAGAATTCAAGCAATTTCATTGGTCGAGAGCCATGATCTATAAGAGGACAGACGCACGGAATGACGTCACAGCAATTTTCTTTTTACCGGTTTAATTTTGGATTTTTTTCAGTTTTATTATATAAAACAAATAGATTACAATGAACCGTTGTCTGTTCAGTTATAGATACACGGTATGACGCCATATGTGATAAGAACAAAAGAGTGACCACTCGCCCCGGCGGCTCGTGGCCACTTTTTTTGTTCTTATCACATATGACGTCATACCGTGTATCTATAACTGAACAGACAACGGTTCATTGTAATCTATTTGTTAAGTAGAACATGGATACAGTCAAGACAAAGCGGTGTAAGAGAAATAATTAATAATCTCCAAGCTTATAAGTGTTTTCAAAGGGTACGTGTTTACTTTGTTTATTTCGTATTTGTTTCGCAGTAAGGATGAGCTGTATTTGTATAATTTTCAGCTTTGTATGCCGTTTATTTGTTTAATTTTCAGCTTAAAACGCATAAACCTGTGAAAGGCTATTACACCTTTGCTTTAACTTCAAAAAGTGTTTTGAAAGTGTAATTTGAATTTGATATAGACAAAAAAATACACACTATATATAAGTTTAAAACTTTTAGCCGTCAACTGCATTCTGTAATAAAATAACATTTGACGTTTTCTCTTTGTCTCTAAAGATTTTGTACTGTTTTAATCGTTTAAAACTTTGATTTTAAACCATTACTTAATTGCTGCCATGGTATAATGCAGCAAAACGGGCAATGTTTATGTACACTAGCTTTATGATTATTTTTGTATCGAATGATGGAAACATTGATATAATATTAATATACAAATGCAGCCTCGTACCCAGGCGCTTTAATAGTAAAATATATCACGGTGCATTCAGTTATTGTATAGAGGTCAGTTAAAAAAAGGCAAGCGCGCAGGAGTGCCTGGGGTGTTTTTGAGTAATATACTCGGTAAAATATAATAAGACTGATTTGAGTTTTGTGTCAATTCATAATGTAAGTTTAGGTCAGGTTAGTTTAGGAAATTGTGTACTTGGTTTGAAATAGCGAGGGGGTGCTGATACATTCATGTATTTCTAGTTCTTACATATTGGTGGCGATAATTGTATGTATATACAGTCTAACTTCAGTCCATGCTTCAGTCTAACTTTAGTCCATGCATGGAAAGAATATAATGGCTATACATCCAGTTAATGTTATAGTTTATACTTAATAATTTATATAGTTTATAAAGGCGTAATTTAGCCGAATCAAATATGGAAACGATAATTTCACAACCCGTGCTGCCTGTTAATATACCAACTCGTATATTCCGAAATTACTCCGATTATTTAGTCCTACTGCCAGAGTCCTATATTGCTATAGAAAATAAATGAAAAACACTCACTTCCGGGCAAGCTGATTCGATAAACCTCCTGGCGTATGACTTGGGTTTCCCAGGGATATATGGGAAGCATAGTTTCTCAAAACAGTTTCGTAATGTTTCTGAAAAACTGCGAGTTCCCATAATGTTGTACTGTCAGCATTCGAGTACTCGGGATCTTTGATCTCAGGACGAAACACGCCGCTTCCCGCACAATCATTATCCAAAATTATCCCGCTCTTGGCATTCATCTATTATAAAAAAGAGGAAATTTTGTTTGTTAACAAAGACGTTTGTTAGAACTATTTCTACAAGGCAAATACAGGTACTACATTTTATACAATTACAAGGAACGTCATTCAAGGTGTATGCTTGGTTTCACTATTTTGGCCGCTTAAAGAAAAGCGTCAGTCAATCGATGTTTACAAACGCAAGAGAAAAATTACGAAATAACCAATTTGAAAATTTAAAAAGGAGTGAAATTGTTTGCATTTTCCAATATTCGTAAATAAACTTTGTAAAATTTGGGATGTTGTTTCAAATTGTTTAGATAGATTCGGGTGATTTGTGTTTGGGTCTTCAGCGTAAGGTACAGTAGCGGAAAAGTGAACTTCGTTTACCTGCAAAAATGACCTCGCAAACGACAACAAAGCAAGAGATGTTGAAGTTGATTGATATAAAGAGACT